TAAACTTGGGTGATAAACAAGGTATTTATTCTTATTTTGGATCATTTTGGTGGAGATTTATATTTGGTAAAAACTGACCTACATTATTCACACAAAAATACAACAGATAGGTATCATTTCACTGAACATTATCTTCCATGTACAAAGACCCCGTCAAAGCCAAAAGTGGGTTTTTGCCCCCAACCCAAAAGACTCATTGTGCGTAAAAGCAAATCTTGTCACCAACACCAAAAGCGATTCTCACTAAGGTAAGGTCAAAACTCAAAAGACAAATTTGTCCCGAGTTCAAAAATTATTGTCGCTAAGCCCACAAAATTGACAAAATGACATTTGCTTTAGTCACTAAAATCCAAAGTCTATTTTTCCTATATGTCCAAAAGCAAATTTTGATCTAAACTCAAAAGTAACTTGTCGCTATGCCAAAAAGCGACATTTCCACAAAGTCAATTTTTGGCTTAGCTGAAAAACTGCTTCGGCCCCTAAAATCCATCAGCTATTTTATGCTATGCCCAAGAGCAAATTTGACTCAAAACCCTAAAAGCGAGTAGTCGCTAAGCTCAACAGCGAAATTTATCCAAAGTAAAGAAATTATTTGTCGCTAAGTCAAAAATCTGCCTTAGCCCCTAAAATCCAAAAGCGACTTTTGACCCTAAACCACAAATGTAATTCTCGCGAACTCAAAATGACATTTGCTAAATAAAGTCAAAAAATTATTTGCGCTAAGCCAAAAAGCTGCTTCAATACCTACCTAAAATCCAATTTGTCGCTAAGTCAAAAATCTGCCTTGCCCCTAAAATCCAAAAGCGACTTTTGACCCTAAACCCAAATGTAACTTCCGCGAACTCAAAAATGACATTTGCTAAATAAAGTCAAAAAATTATTTGCGCTAAGCCAAAAAGCTGCTTCAATACCTAAAATCCAAAAGCGACTTCGTTATGCCCAAAAGCAAATTTTGACACTAACCCCAAAGTGACTTGTTGCTAAGTCAAAGGCGACATTTGCCCAAGTCCATAAAAGCTTGTCGCAAAGTTCAAAGGCTGGCTGCTTTTGACCCAAAATCCAAGTGACCTTTTTCTATGCCCAAAAGCAAAGTTCAATTTTGTCCTTGTCGCTAAGCCTAAGTGACTTACCTACTGATGGGTCAAGAACTGACTTTTGGCCCCAAGACCAAAAAGCAAGTTTGTGTAGGATGTAGGTTGTGGGTTTCAGGTTGTAGGTGGTAGATTTGAGGTTGTAGGTTGTAGATAAGGTTAGGTTAGGTTTGGTTATTTTTGGTTTGGTTAGGCTTGATAAGAAAGCTCTCTGGGTATAGCGCCTCTCCTCGGTTGCAAAAAGGAGTGCGACGCCTGCTTTGCTACTAACGTTTGTGCAATATCAAACACCAAGCATTTCACCTAGATACCTATAAGTAATTTACAAATGTAATCCTGAGGCTGGATTCAAACGTTAACAGGCACTAAATCTGGATACGATACCTACTACAAAAAAAAATACATGAATTGCGCCAGGATTTAACAAATTACAAAAAATGGAACAGCCATTTGGCTCATTTTTGAAGAATAGTCATTCTTACGAGTTAAAAGACAATTGTATTTATATTAAATTCTTGTTTTGCTATTTTCTTGTAATATTCATATCATCCAGATAAATATTCAAATAAATATTTTCGATGTTACCTCTATTATGATAAGTAAACATTCAAGCCGATAGGTAGGCATTTTCAGGTTTTATATTTAGCAACTGCCGAGACCAAAGCGACGCGGGCAACAAAAGAAACCGTGGGGATAACGCCATTTTGAGTCATTAGATAGTCATAAATGGTTTTAAGTACAAGGCATCTGCACATTTAACACTCAAAACAATTCAAATTAGCATTTTTCTTGATAGACAATTGCCTAGATCTTACCGTCGAAATCGAAGTCGTCCAGCGCGCGAATGGCGGACTGGTAGTTGATAGAGCTGGACACCAGTACTTCTGGATGGGCGTGTTGTCATTTCAAGGTGCCTATTTACTACCTATTTAAAAACGCTAGGTATGAATTTGTTATTATTTAATCTACCTGCCACCCAAAACCGAAAACATCAAAATATTTGCAATTGTACATGCAAAATACCTACCCATTCCATCATCACAAAGTACCATCTCTTTCATACGTCATCAATATGGCACAGCAGAAAGCTGAAATGCCCGGCGGATTTGTGTGAACGCGAGGGAAGTCACGTGACCTTGAGTCACACTCTTTATGGCAAAATCCAGTAAAAAGGGGCCCATCTGATATTTATACAGACGTTATATCACGACATAAGGAAGGCGTTGTGATGCTCAGCATAGTGGTGCCCGATTTTCGGGCACCACTATGCAAACGGGCACCACTTCGCGTAGGTGTATCGGACAAAGGGCACCACTACGCTGGTCTTACAAACGCACACACACACACACACACACACACACACACACACACACACACACACACACACACACACACACACACACACACACACACACACACACACACACACACACACACACACACCACACACACACACACACACACACACACCACACACACACACACACACACACACACACACACACACACACACACACACACACACACACACACACACACACACACACACACACACACACACACACACACACACACACACACACACACACACCCACACACACACACACACACACACACACACACACACACACACACACACACACACACACACACACACACACACACACACACACACACACACACACACACACACACACACACACACACACACACACACACACACACACACACACACACACACACACACACACACACACACACACACACACACACACACACACACACACACACACACACACACACACACACACACACACACACACACACACACACACACACACACACACACACACACACACACACACACACACACACACACACACACACACACACACACACACACACACACACACACACACACACACACACACACACACACACACACACACACACACACACACACACACACACACACACACACACACACACACACTTCACAGTTCCTCCTCATCGCGTTGACGCTTACCAGCGCGTGTCGGGTAGACTCTGCCAGCAGCTCCTTGGCCTTGTTGAGAATGTCCTCGTTGTGTCCGCCGTAGGCCAGGCTGAGCACATTGGCGTCCGAGGACAGGTCCTCCAGGTCCTTCGGGGAAGTCATCGCTGACTTCTGAAACGTAAATACGTGTGTCCGTATAATCATGTAACCTATGCTATGTGCTATCCTAAATGGCGTATGCAGCCGACCATAGCCGCGTTTACATAGCATTTTTGACGAGGCTCTAGCTCGTTTATTTGGCGATAATTTCGATGCAGTGGTCTTCAAATATTTAGAGGGATCATTTTGTAAATTGTTAAGCACCATTAGCATCTTTTGCAACATCACGAAGGGAGACATAAGCTTGCAACAAACCCTATGTAAACACGTCTAATAATGCTTCATGGGGCACCGGTGATGATGATGATTGATGATAATGATGTTTATGTTTTAGGAAGGTCCGGACGTCATTTGTTTGAACAGCACCCATTTATTGGTCACAAAAAGACGCCTATCCATTCCAAACGGTAAACAAAGTGCTTAACCCGGCGGCCGCTGGGCCTCCGCGACACTCACCGGCCGCTGGAGGGGAGGGGGGGGGCATATAGTTGCCCCCCCTTTACATCTGCGACGATTTCGTCGCAACGCGAAGAGGCAGAGAAACAAAACTTTGCACACATCTTCATTCTTCCTGAATACCTAGCCGAGGTTGTGTCCAAATTTGGTGTCGATCCCATTTGAATTGACGTCACAATGACGTCAGAAGTCAAATTATAGATTTGCGACTCTCAGTTTCCTCACGATATATCCGATATATGAGACCGAATGTAAAGGACCGATTATTGGTCAGGAGGATTACAGCAGGTGCTGTCTAGTTCATTTACGGGTGTTTCATGCTCAGCGACATCAGAAACGGTCCATATCGGAAAACGACAAAAAATATGACGTCACTGTGACGTCATCTTAAGTGCTACAGCCACCAAACTTTCCTCAAACATTGCTTGGTATTCATTTGAAACTATGCCAAGTTTCACGCTCATAGCTCATCAGGTTTCGGAGATATTCCACAAAACGTATGGGGGGGGGGCAACTTTATGCCCCCCAGCGGCTCGTGGGTTAACCCGCGCCCCGCTGGGGGGGGGGGCAGAATCTGCACCCCCTCCCGTTTTTCGCCAATAACTTCTAAACGCGTTACGCCAGCAACGTCAAACTTACAGTACCTTATCATACATCAATTTGACACGTTCCCTAAAAATTTGAGCGAAATCCGTCGGATTTGTTTTTTAGAAAATGACGTTTTAGTGACGTCATGTTCGCCATTTTCGCCAAAAAAATCGCAAAATTTCAAACGCCGCTAACATCTTCATTTTTAAAGGAATCAAGACGTAACAAAAAAGGTTATACGTGACTCTACTTTGTCTATCAAACGGCTATCTCGGTTTTTTGAAAATGTTGGATTTTGGCCCAAATTTTATTTCTAAAAAAATCGACTTTTTTGGGAAAATAATTATAAAATCCAAAATTTTTAATGTATCGAAAAAAGCAAAATATATGTCATAGAAGTGGTCTATGTGCACCTACATACCAATTTTGAGAAGAATCGGTTCAAAAATGTAGGAGTTATTCAAAATTTTATGACGTCACGACACGAAAAATTTTTGAACAATGAATTTTTTGGAACTTCTAGACCTTGTACGGAAACAAAAATAGCACCATTCGACTCGCCGTGAAAAACTGCATCAGATAGACACCTTTTTAGGCCTTAACAACCAACTTCAAAGTTTGACCTCACTTGACCTGACCTTGACCTGACCTCGAACTGACATTCATCCAGAGGTGGTCCATAACACTAATTGAGTGTGCCTATTGAATTCTATGAATAAAATGACCCATAAAACATGTGTCGCACATGCCCTTTTCTATATTTTGTTTTTGGTGACCTGACCTGACCTGACCTGACCTTGACCTTGACCTTTGAATGATATTGTAAGTGCAACGAATATTATCTTGGTAGCCTAAGAACACGTTTTGGGCAATCAGTCTCAGTCCATTCTTCGGCAATTACGGTGCAAGGCCGATACTGTGGAAACTTGCATTTTGTACCCTTGACCTGACCTTGACCTGACCTCTGACCTACTTATGCAAAAAAAAAATTGAGCTCTTAAGATTCGCCTCGTTGAGAGCTTTCGATTGCCGTTTTTCCCGTCTTTCTACGACCATCGGTTCGGAAGTTAGACAGGGGGGGGGGGGCAGAATCTGCCCCCCCCCCCCCCCAGCAGGGCGCGTATGGCTGAATAGCCCAGCGGGGCGCGGGTTAAGCTAGATCATTCTTCAAACTCATAATCACGACATTATCCATGATCAATGGATGGACTTACCGATGATGCGGCTCTCGTATGCAGCACGCCGGCCGAGCTCCGTCCCCTCGCGGCTCCAGGCAGCACTGCTCGCATGAGACGGTACACAAACACTGGCCTCGGCTGCACAGATTGGCTAATACATGCTGGCCGCTGACCAGTCAAACGAGCCGACCCTATAGCGCCGACCTTAGCGCCGACCCTATGGTGGGTGAGCATGACAATTATAGGGAGTCTGAGGATAGCTGACCACTTATTGAAATATCGTTCCCAGAAAGCTAGCGCATTGGGAGACGTATTGTCGTGGATTGGGACTTTGTAATGTATCGCTTCTTTTACCATGATTGTTTGGGTTACCAACTGCATGAAGTCCTATCAGCAAGCGGCATATGGCCTGGCAGTGTTTCATAAACAAACACTAGAGTTGCGCAATACACAGCGCATGTATGTCCCACGAGTTACGCCACACCAGCTCGAAGCTACGAGTACACCGCACATAGGCATTCACTATTCATCGCAGTAATGTACGCAATATGTATGCTTTATGTACCCAAAACGTATGTGCTTGTGCAGCATGTTCACACATTTTGTTGTCGTGTCACGAGCAGATTCTATGGTACATTATACGTCTCCTTAGAACGCGCCAGAGCGGTGGTATGCCCGACCAGAACGGCGGCTAACTCGTTTCCCATGGGCTGCGTATACCAAGCGGGAAGCGCCGAACGGCTCTGAAAGGTCATCCAATATCAACGATAATAATTACTGGGTGTATTTTAGTAGATTCAAGATAAATGAAGAAAGCGAAAAATGTGAGGGTGGAACAGAAAAGCAAAATACGAAAAATAAAACAAAAGACAAGCAACGAATGACAAAATAGTGCACGGAAGATACCAAACGCATTAAATTAAATCCCTTTGGACGGGCATCAAAAAGGCAAAAACATCGATTACAAAAATGTCGAAAAAGCCATAGATCAAAACTCAAACATCGAAGAAAAAATAAAAATTAATAAAGGATGCATTGCAGAAAAAAGCGCGAAAGCGACCCTAAACTATCGAACGTCCGCTTGTCTCACTCCCAGGGGCTCAATCGTATATTGTCGTGACCCACCACCGCACCTAACGATGACCTGAGCTGCCTGTCCGGCGCCAAATTTGAAAGACAGCTTGACCATAGGTATGGATGGTGTTCACGCATCCCTTTCCATCAGTCACAAGCGTAGCAGCCCCTGGGTCTTGGCATCACTGCTCCGGCCGGCGCGCTCGCGACAGTACGTAGGGTGAATTATGAAAAGTTTTGAGCCTAACATAGTTACAGGTGACGCAGATTAATGAAACTTTGGTCACACATTTTGCCACTATTGATATGAATGGACACAAAATTGTGAAGTCCTAGCACTTTTTTCCTCACTTTTATAGTGCCTTGAATCATGCTATTTTGGGTAAGTGCTCGCGGTGTCAATGACGTCATTATTTTTTGTGAAGCGTCATCCAGTCAGTTTTTTCTTTAAGCTTAGACAGAAATAGACACCCTAAGGATGCCAATGCTGTTTAAAAGATTAAATTTGGGATACTTTGGAAGGCTCAGTAATTCATTGTTTACATTGCAACCAGTGAAAAATACCCTGATTTATTGTCCTGGTGAAACACGACCAATTTTGTCAGGATTGCCCTTCTGATCTTCCTGATTTTCTAACAAAGGTGTATCAGTGGTTCATCCTAGTAATGCCCAATTACAGTAAGACCCTTTGAAAAAAGTACACTTGCAAGACATCTCATTTATTTTCCGAATTACGGAACACTTTCCTCCTTGTTGTGACTCTGACATTTAATTTTTCAGATTAGAGTAGAGACGTTCTTTCACTGACTCCACTGTTCTTCCAGTGCTGGATTGAAGTGAAACACCCAGTTAATCATCGGTAGCGAAAAGTGACTTTGAATTCTCAGAATCTGCTTCAACTAGCTCCAAATGTCATTACACATCTCTCGTCGTGCTCTGCAGCAAAAAGCCGAGAGGCCCATGGGCGCCGCCACCGGGGGGACGGGGGGGACGCGTCCCCCCACTCTCAGAATGGAAGGGGGACGTCCCCCCAAACTCATTACGGAGCGAGCGAAGCGAGCATAGTCTTTCGTAGGTTAACGGAAATTTCTGAACATGCCGTGGTCACGCTGTTCCTAGGCTTATATCTGAGCAACCACTTGACCGATTTCGGTAATTATTGTAGGGTAGCACTAGATTCATTCCTTCTAACGAGCATCGGACTATTCCCGATGCATGTGAGTGACCCCATATGCACGTGCCACGTGAAAAACGAAGAGGTGTCAGTTTTGTAACAATTTCAATATCTCGGCAACTACTGGGCCGATTGCGCTGAAAGTTGGCATGTAGGTATACCCACTAGGCAATGCATATCCATGTGCCACAGTTGCACTGAAAAAAATCGGGGAACCCCATTTCTTACAATCTGACACCACATACTCCAAAATACTCCTAAATTAGGCTCCGTTTTCATGATTTTAGGATGTCATGGGTGTTGTGACACCCGACACGGGAGCCCCATTACCTTTTGACGCCGCAAAAATGTACATGACCCCCTTGGGAGAGGTTCGGCTAGCGAACTCCCCAAAAATTGCAGGCCAAAAAATTGGAGTGTCGCTGAGACACCCCCGTTGAAACCCCTCTGGGGTGTCATTATCCTGGAGTGACACCCCGTGTTTTCAGCTTCAAATCCTACCGATAGATGGCGCAAACTAAAGTTGGTAAAATCGGGACCTGTTTTTCACGAATGGCTGGTGCATGTTTGGAGCTAAGGCAAAAGCGTGCATAGCGTAGAGTGGCCAACTATATCATGATGATATCTAGACTGATTACCGTGACATACGTTGGTCGTGCACACTACAGGGCGCCGCAAGGCCGCGAACGGAAAGAGTAACTCCTCACCCGGTTATAAATATAGTCTGAGATTCTCGTTCCGAAAGACATTTAATCCTCGCCGGGAGTTTTTCGGAAGTATAGGGGAGTGAAACTTCTCTGAGAGATTCCCTGCTGAAGACGCGCGGTTCCCCGCGTGGGGGTCAGGAACAATATGGGGAGTTATATCAGAAAAATAGGGGAGTTGAGCTGCTATATTTTACACCCTAATTTGGGAGTTTGACACCCTGTCGGGTGCTTAGGGACCAAAAAGGGGTGCTCGGCTGATATTTGAGGGGTGTCACCTGCAGTCTAACGGAACCCCATGTGGGCCGGCGCTGACCCCCCTTTAGCGGCTGCGACTCCCCACTATGCGTCGAAACCTTCCTGGGGTGTACGCCAAACACCCCATTTATAATAGCTCAGCGACTCCCCTCAAAACACCCCACTCGGGTGTTATTTTTGACATGACCGTCAATACCCCGTACAGGGTGTCATTTTTTCTTTCAGTGTTGAGCTGCTATATTTTACACCCTAATTTGGGAGTTTGACACCCTGTCGGGTGCTTAGGGACCAAAAAGGGGTGCTCGGCTGATATTTGAGGGGTGTCACCTGCAGTCTAACGGAACCCCATGTGGGCCGGCGCTGACCCCCCTTTAGCGGCTGCGACTCCCCACTATGCGTCGAAACCTTCCTGGGGTGTACGCCAAACACCCCATTTATAATAGCTCAGCGACTCCCCTCAAAACACCCCACTCGGGTGTTATTTTTGACATGACCGTCAATACCCCGTACAGGGTGTCATTTTTTCTTTCAGTGTGGGGTGCTGCTGCACGTGCGCACATGCAGGGGTCGATTCCAGATCTCGAGAACGGCTGAACCGATTGTGCTGAAATATGCTACATGGTTAGGGACCGGTTAGTAGGGTGCCGTGCAAAAGTCAGTTGGAACCCATTTTGCACGTGCGCACGTGCAGGGTGCCGCTTCCAGATCTCGAGAACGGCTAGGCCGATTGCGCTCAAATGTGGCACATCGTTAGGGACCGGTTAGAAGGGTGCAGTGCACAAGTTAGTTGGAGGTATCCCCTCGCAATTTCGCACGTGCAAGGCTCACCCCACCCTCTCGCTCGCTCCGTTAGTCGCCCCAAAAGGCGTTTTACTGGTTGTTATCCTACTCGAAATTTGATTAGGCCCTTCGGTCCAATGAGACCATTTCAGAGCCGCAAGTATGAAAGAATTAGTGGGAGACATTGGTCTGGGCAGCCACCCCAGTGAGCCACTTGGGATGAACCCGACCAATTGAACAAGCAGCCCAGCCCACTGGCACTCACTGCACCCGGCAAAGGACTATAGCTCCAGTGGAGCCATTCCCACATGGGATAGAGTTGCCCGTCCAGCCCGGAGCAGGGGGCTGCGGCGTGGAGGAGAAGGATCTGACTGTCCTGAGGATGGAAGAGATGGAACGGCCGGTGCCGAATCTGAGAGGGTCCAGGAGGTTTAGATACTCAGTATATGGGGTGTGGGAAGCATATTTACGTCTGGACAACGAGTTGCGGGGAAAAGTGCTAATTGTGTTGCAGTTTTAGGAGCCGGTGATTAGGCTGGATTTTTGGGTTACTTTTTCGTTCCGATTCATGTATTTCATAGTGTTTGGCTTTTGAATATTTTATTTCTTTCAGATAAATATTACTTGTCTTACAACTTTTGTAAAAACGTTTCATTTTTTTATAAGCCGACGTTCAGAGTCCTAAAAATACATCAGCACTACAATCATTGTAAACAAACAAATGGAGCACCACTTGGCTCTGTTTCAAGGCCATTTTTTTAGTTTATCTGGTGGTTTTCTTGCTCTTGTACGTCGTTTTGTTGGATGTTTTGAATCCCTTAAGATTGACTTATATCATATTTAAGAAGTATGTTGACTGAAAACAATCTGAAGTGTCCAGGAGGCTGACAGAGGTCCTGACTACTGAGCAATATCAATATCAAGTTGAACAAGTTATGAAATTTTGGTTGATGAACGCAAGTTGATCGGGCTCATATATCAGCAAGAAGAAGTAAAATTAAAAGAGCTTATTGTCCAAAAACAAGCTATAATATTGCAGACCTTGGAGCAATACTGAAGAGCACGCTGAGCAGGATCATGCCAGAAAATGTTGACTGATGAGCGCATATTGATGTATTGGTACGAATATTGAATGATAACTTACAACA